TAAATGTCGGAGCAGGCGTGGCAATCATGAATGACTGGCTACGTCAGACCAAGTAACATTACTTAAGAATTGCTATTGAAAAACCCTGAATCGTCATTTGCAGCTAAATTTTAATACAACCGCGAAATGATGACCGTATACGCAAGGTGTGACAAGGTGTTCTTCAAACAAATCAACATTTTAGTAATACGCCGGGCAGTCATTTGCCAATTCAGTAAAGCCCAAGTCACTGCTTTAATGTATTTGCTGCAGGCATTGTGCGAAATATTTTATTAATGTGCAAAATCAACTGAAAATGGAGTGAGCCCGTCTATGTGGTAACACAACCACTCTGTAATATACCTTTCCTCGTTCGTACTCTACGCCGAAATTAGATATCGATTAATATGCACGTAGTTAAGGTACGATGCATCGATAGATCACATTAAATGGACTTGTCCAACTAAGACTGTTGGATGCTAGGCCGGCGACATCCTGTATCACCATGGCCGAAACTCGTATCCGGGATCAGTAGCTTTGAAGGGGATGCGAATAATGTCAAGGAACGTCTCACTTCGTCGACACCTTTTCGCACATAATATCCGCCGCTACCAATTTTACCAGTCGCGTCTTGCTTTTGCCTCAGCTCTCCTCACTATCGTCAAAGTGTGAACGAGCTCAAACACTTGACAATGACGATTTTAAATAGTAGCTGAATTCAAGGGACTGGTAAGTGTGAATTTTCAAATGCTTTGCGACGTAGTTGACGCCACCAACGTAGATGCACACACTTGATTACTTGAGATAATGTGAAAAATAGTTACTGCTTTCATTTAGAAAATTGGGTACACTTGATATAGCCACCGCACAAGTCACGAAGGACGAGTACATTGCACAAAAGACCAACGAGTGACAATTGTACATGCACCAGTTTCACTAAGCAATGTGACGCCTATCGGATACTTGGGTCATTTGATTGTCAGATTCATTCCCTCTTTTGCTTATGGCCACGATGTGTTCGCTACGTGCGATAGCAGGTCCAGCACGGTCCACACACCACAACAGAACGTGGCCAAAACAAAACGTCAGATGAGACAGTCAAAACGACGTCGACCGTCGTATTGGTGTGCCAAATTAACACTAATCAATCAATCATCACCTGTGACATTCAGTGTCGGTAAAATACAAAATTAGTGAGTGCTCTTCAGAAATTTTCTTTCTTGAAGCAAAACATTGTGATTATCCTCACGCACTGAAAAAACTCACAAGCAAGACAATCCAGGTCACCCCCATTTTGGACGGCATTTACACTGTGTGTTGAAGCGGTGTAGCATGCACGATGACCAGCCAGTCATATGCAAAGTCGTCGACCTAACACACTGAACCTCATAACCCGTGCGCATTTCTCACGTGTCTTACTGGCATTTTGCAATAAAGTACCAAGTTACGAGAAGAACTATAACCACGAACTCGGAACGCTGCTTGCAAAAGTGGGCCCATTAGATCATTATTATGTGCATACATGTCATCATACAAATATTTAACAAAGAAGGCGGTTAAAACAATAGAATAGGAGACATAACCAAAATAAAAGAATCAAGTAATTAGCATCATATTTCGTCAACATCAGTGAAAGGAAAGAAGTGTCGCGAGATGTGCCTGTCACACAGCCGAGGTAGATGGAAGGGCAGGAGCAGCAGTCGTCGAGCCAACCACAGCGGCCACAAATCAATAAGGGGAGACTGGCCGCAACCCAAACTGTATGGTCGCAACACACATCCTGCCACGGGATCGGACACAGCTGCTGGCGGAAAACGAGACGTGCCCAGTGACGAATAGGTCTCAATTCGAGAAAACCAGGCAAGCCAATTGGACAGAAAGGCTGTCAGAGTGAGCAATCGCAGATAAAGTGGTCGCGGGTATGGGCGCTCCACCTCTTCCCCACCTTCGATATTTTGACGAGGAATAGGGACGTGGTAAAAGGGAGAAAGAGCATCAAATGGGGTCATCCACAGAACACCAATCAGGTGAGCTTTGGGTTCCGTGGAGTGTCGCATCAGATTGAGCAGCGGTGATAGCGGTGATAAAGCCTGCAATTACAAACAGTGTATTCGCTGGTCATCTGCTCACCATTTGAACATCCAACGTTTGCCCATTTAAAGATATCAGTTAGCTGCATATTTGCAATTAGGCCCTACACGCTACACACCAACAGGCAGACAACGTCGACACGCCCACCACTCTGACTGCATTTTGTGTGTCAAACCGCAAAGGAAACCGAGTAGCTGAGTAAAAGCAAAATTCACCATAATCTCGAGTTTACTGATCTGTTTTCACTAACATCGACACTACAGGTTACAGTTTTCGCATTAACTTGTAAATTCTTGTGTGACTGATATAGCGAGCGTGAAGATTACGTAAAACCTGATCCAATACTTACCATGGGGTCTAGAAGAATAAGATTTTGCATTTGGCGGTTTCTTGCGCAAAAATTGCAGACATCCGACAGCAGACGTCCGACACTCGCTCGCCATGGCGGTATCCGATTCTCATGCACAGACACATCAACATTCAGCTGTGGAGCGAAACGAAAAGGCCATCGTGTCTGACGGAAAAACCAATGCCACTGTGGCTGCATTTTAGTATTGACTTGTTTCGCACATTCAAAGTAATCATGTGTATAACTACCATCGTAGCCCAACCTATACGAATCTGGCTCTATTCCTTTGTATGTTATTGAAGACATTGATGACTGCGTGTCTTCAGGAACATCGATCTGATCATGAGACGCAAATTCCTCAACTTCAACTCCAGTGATGTCGCTTTGCACTTCATCAGCACCATCAACATCACATGTCTTTTGGTCTTCCAAAAGTGAATCTGCTTCTCCACTAGATTCCAACGCTTCCACATCCTCCTTCACTTCCACCTCATTCGTGTCCTCCTGTTTCACTGTTTCCTCTCCATTATGTTCTACCATCTCTTCTACGGCCTCTTCCCCATTTTCCACTTCTTCTACTTCTACTTTTTCATCTTCTTTGTCACCTGTACATTCCTTGTTAGTATCACCATCCTCCACTTCAAAACTGCTGTTGAAGAGGAAAGCCATATCATGCCCACTTACACTGTTATCCACAGATGTGCTCCCAGTAGAAGTTCGTCGTCGTCGTCGTCGCTCACAAAACAGCCCACCCAAGATGCCCCAAATTCCTCCTCCGTCTACATGAGACCACGGACAAAAGTCGTCAGTCAATATGGGCCTCGTTAACATTTTTTCAGAAAAGAATACGGCTAGGTCGGAGACAGAAGTAGTGCTCGACTGATAGGAATAGTGCTCAGGCTGAAAGAAATCGTACCACGGACATAGACTTGATGCTTGTCTTGATTCAGAATGACTTTGCTTTGAGTACAACATATCACCTGCAAAAAGCATGCTGTAGAGATCTTCAAATTCCATCTGATAGGAATGATGACCAACAAGCTCGCAGAAGTAGAAAACCGAGGGGTTCTTGTCATTGGCACTAAATCCAGGATGCCAAATAAGAATACGCTGGGTCTCAATGTATCCGAGTGTGTATTCGCGTTCAAAGGGCGGTGAAACTTGTGATTCGTTCTCTGAATCAACGGAGAATCGCATATTTGCAAATGACAGAACATTTTCGTCGAACACGGCTGCACCATCAATAAAGTCTTCATTGTCACCTTTCTGCAAAAGGATACACAGCAGAATCAATTAATGGGAAACCCTTCACCCGACTTGGTAACTGGTTTCAAATTAAACAGTCTGAACGTTCGTTAAACACAAAATTACCTTCTGCTGTAGTGGTGTGCCTCAGGGGAACATGGCTGACCGCCAATAAGTAAACCGCAGTACTTACTTTGAAGGCAGAGTTAGGGCCATTAAAGATACTGCCGTTCTCACTGTCTGATTGTTGCACGGCATCCACGAAACCCGCCTGCGCCCTGCTCTCTTTCGTTCCCTCGGTATCATCATCATCGTCATCCTCTTCCTCGCCAACTGGAAGGCATCCGTGGGCCTCTGCCCACTCACACCATGCCTTGTTCGGCGCAAACCGCTGTCCATTCACCGGCAAACCTGCCAACACTCGCATCGTCTTCTTTGCCAACAGGTTTCTATTCTCCAGGTATGCGAACGAGTTGTTTGCCGAATCGAAATTCGGATTTTCAATGAGGTAGAGAAGAGACTTCACGACATCCAGCAGATTGTAACAGCTACAAGTTCAACCAACACTCAAATCAACTAAATGCATTTCTGTAAATGTAATGCACAATAAAGTAACCTGACTGCACCCACACACAACGCGCCAGTAGATACAACAAGCATGACCTTATTCTGCATGACACTCTCAATTGTAATCCTCTTATGACGATTAAACCTTAATTTTGATAGGTATTGGCTAGAGTTTGCACTTAGTAGTTCGCACATGACACCTACCAACTCCACTTGGGACAGTTTGTGCCCAGACCTCTATACCGGAACAAACATGTTCCGCAGCCATTGTCGAAGAAAAGGCTATCACGTACCTAAGCCATTCGTTGAGAAGATTTAGACAAACATTGCCCGAATAATTGTCGATGTTGGGATGGAAAATAGGTGACTTGAAAGTCACTTCTGGACTCTCTCTTGGATAGGACAATGAACATTTAATCTGCAAAACAAAACTAAGTGTCAGCATAAGACACACAAACGTTGACTTTTTCGCTTCGGGGAATCTTAATGCCATGACTATGTACCGGGTCTCAATGCCAGCGATGGTGTAAGTGTGGCGTGGACCCCCAAATCGTAGCATTTTTGAAAAGCACTTTAAAGCTGCTGATTATGACATTTAAGCCAAGCAAAAAGCAATCAGCAAGACGTCGACATCATACAGAATTTAAGTGGTTTAAAGGTATACTGGTGGTTGAATAGAAGCAAGAAAAATAAATGCCCACTAAATTCCCTACCAATCTTTAAGAAATCTACAATAATTGCTCAAAAGGAACTCACTTTCACAGTGAAATCAGCGTGCGCGTTGTAACCAGATTTTGGATGCAACGAGATTAGCACTGACATTTCATTGACAGAGATTATCGAGGCTTGACCATTTGTCGACGTCTCAATCAAACGGTAAAGTTGCTGAATGTCCTTAAGATAAGAACGCTGAGTTGTTGAACGCGACATCTGCAAATGAAAACAAAGTATTTCACCTTGCATGCTGTTCAGCTAGGGTCGTGAACAGGGATGATAAATTGTTAACCATGATTAGAGACATTAATATTACTTTAACGATTACTCAGTGGAATAGACAAACTAAGCCTTCACTTGCGGAACATATTCCGTGTTTAATTGAAACGTCAGAAATTCGGCTTCTATTAGCAATGTCATAGTATCATTAATAAAAATAATCAGAGTAAGTGCTAGCACATTTTAACCATGGACAAATCGAACATCTGTCGACGTCTCAATTATCCAATAAAATTGGTTACTGAGCGCGACAATTGCGAACAGAAACATTATTCAGACTGAGTCAATGAGAAGGAGGCTTGTACTTCCATCTTTCTCATGCTGTATTTTTGAATTGAATACATCACAAATAATTTAGCAACACTATTCGGAATGACAATTCTTTATAAGTCAAGTATTTGTGGACAAAGCTGATTTATGTCAAAAACGTCTAGGGGTGTGCAGGTCATGATTTCGGCTTTCGATAGATTATGTATCACTGAAAAAATTACTAGTAGACTTGCAGACACATCATCCACAATCACAAAGCCAAAAATGGAAGTGAGAATGTGAGAAATCGTCTGCACGCACTGTGAAACTTTTGCTAGGACGGCAGCTGCTGCTTACGTTTGCCAGCATTGCCACACAAAATATGCTTCCAATTTATAGCAAGACACACCACCAAGTGATCGGAAATCAATAGTAAAACCAACCGCGACTGAAACCGCACTCTTATGAGGCAGCCAAGATCATCTGCTTCGGATTCAATAAGTGATTATTAATTGGGTGTAGACGTTGGAGGAAATAATATTAATGGGCGTCAGTGCGAGGGACTGAGTACCATGTGCAAGGAGCGAAAATAAGACTGACAGCACCATTCCTATTATCTGTTGACCCCCATTATGCTATAATTAGACTTAAGAGCAAATGGTTTCAGTAACACTAGTTAAGACAAGCATGTAAATTTCTCCAAGTGGCCTTTGTCATTACACAAACCAAGGGATGCTGGCCTTAATGAACAAGAATAACACTTATTCATTGAATAAATCTTAGCTCCAATCCAACATAAGAACATTGCTATTACTTTATGAATACATCAAAGATATTAAAGTCTTCAACTCAATTCCTAAGAGGCAACAAGCACGCTAACATTCTCATAGTAGGTGATTGATTATATAGATATTTCACGGTAAATGGTCAAATCATTTTTGTTAGTGAAACAACACTTACATGAGCAAGTGAACAAATTTAACCACTTGATGCACTTTACTGAAAACCAACCTGTTAACTGAAGCCAACTCGCAATTAGAATATTGAATGACAAATAAAGAACATTTTCAAGCTTGTTGTTAATTACACGTGCAACTTCGGTAAGTATTACCAGATGCCTTTACTAGTTACCGAAAGTACTATGAATATTCCCTAGTCATTAATAATAATAAAAAGCACAATAAACGAACCTAAGTGATACATTACACTAAGATGCATTTAAGCAAGAAAACATAACACTATTCCTTCGTATTTAAAATTCATTAAATGCCAAAACATGCAAGCCAAATATTTATGTTTAGGAGAGGCTAAGTGTAGGACTCTATAAAGAGCCACAAATTACATCGTATTAAATTAAATTTTTAATGAATAATGTGAGAAGACTCTGGCAACTGTATGTAAGGGATATTCGAAACAATTCTTACGAAAATTATAATAAAATACAAGTGTCATAAAAAGGAAAGAGAAAACAGTAATGATCTGATACTCCAGTAGGATGCAAGGATAAAATACCTTTTCCAACTCGATGGATTTCCAACTAACCGCCAGACTATTTTCAAGGCTAACTGGAAGCAAAGTTTAAAAAGATAAATATATCGTAGTGATTGTAAGGGTAAGTAATTGCGTTACTAATATTCTACAGCAGTAACTACTGCTAACGTAATGACCTAAAATATTAGTGTTAATGTTGACTCACCGAACTCAGTATTACGAACCATGCGAGGAGCAGGAACGTGAATAAAACCGTCTAGTACGCAAAGCCTGTGGAAGTACAGTCAAATTTTTGTAGGAAGTGTGCCATGCAGTGTAGCTATCCATGTTAAATACTAGGTCTTGAATGAATTCGAAGAGAAAAATGGCAGTCCGTTAGTCGCATATTTAAGCGCCCTAATTTGTTTACGTTAAATCAGTCTATAAAATATTAGATTTTAGTCAACATATTGTGCGCTCGCAACTTACATAAAAAGTTGCGCATTTTATAGAAAAATCCGATTTGTTGAAGAGTGCGAATCCAATATTTTTTAATGTGTATTAAGAATTCAAGTATAAAGACAAATATTCACGCATTTATATTCCTTTTGAAAAGTTTAAGGTAGAGATTTTTTTATTTATTTAATAGGCTTACTCATCTTTGATGACACAATCATTTAAATGCTTGTTCCATCAAATGCTATTGGCTTGAGAACTAAAGAGAATTGAATAGAATTCTTAATCTTGAACATTTTTTTGAATGATGACGCATGCTCAAAATTGCATGCACTTAACAAATTTACTAGTAATTCTGGTGATTAAATAACAGCTATGTCACCTTAAGGTATTTGCGTTGGGTGGTTGCTGTCAATAAAGTGATGCTTAATAATGTGCCTGAGGTCAATATCGAAATAATGAAATCTCATTAGCGTAGCATGGTCATCTTTATTGCGAATTTCCATTTCTAGAATGGCAGTCTGTAATCTACGATGATGAAGTCTGTCGTAATTATCACCTTTTCGCTTCCTAACGAAGCGATAACTCGAGTAACAACCTTTAATTTGCTTGCATTGCTGCTTTATAATAGATATAACTTACAAAACTGAACAGAACGTGCAACTTTGAATGTCTGAATTATATGGTTCAATGCCACTTCGACTGTAAACAAGAAAGCTTATTCATTACATTGTAGGTTAATTTTAAATATATTGCCCTACAAACAGATGCACATGAAATGACACAGGTTCAATTGGCGTAATATTGGCAAAGCATTCTTATGTGGGGCACTTTGCATTACATTCGATTAAAATGTTGAAAATTGCACTTGTATTTGTGAGATATCCCGTATAGTGAACCTTGTTAAAGACAGTACTTGATCTCTAAATTATTCGCTTAAATGCAAATACTGATACCACGCCTGACTTAGCCTTGAATATACACCGCAGCAACAGAGTAGTCTGAATTAATTTTGTGTAATCGTACTTGTGACTTAGCCACATAATTCCTGCATTTTTGGTACGGTATTTAAAAAGCAATGAGATTAAGCCAAATGCGGCGCCTGTGAAACTCTAACTTTCCAAAATGTATACGTTTTGTTCAAACCCAAATTAGGATCGCTTCTGCTCTGTGGCCTAAATGTCTTCGTTACAATTTCCCTTTTTTATTAATGACTAGCTAGAAGCTATCTACACAGAACATACAGCAGTGCTAATAGGCTCAAAGTTCTCAAGACATGCACGAGCTATGACGACAAAATATGACATTTACAATAAATGATTTCTTAAGTGAACATCACACATTTTATGCAATACACATTCCATACATTCCTGTCACAAGTCATTGGCACGTTAACAAAATTACACGTAAAGTATGCAAAGAAGTAGTTATGGTCATACATTCAACCCGAGTGCATGGTAAAATGATTCTGTCGCGCTCGATGAAGTAGCAATTAAGTTTGACACTTTTTGCATACCGCACGGTTTACTCAAGGTTTTCTATATTATTAGTGACTTCTATTTTACTAGGATATTCGTTGTCAATGAATACAATCAAACCTTGCTCTACAACATGAAGTCAGCTGCGTGGACTCATAATAACAAATCCTGTAATTTAGCGTTTACTTCTTTCCGTCAAAAGGCAACACAAGCTGAAATTTCGCTGGCGCAATATAGAACTTTGTCAGGGAGTTTATGACAGTGGGAACAGGAAACGTGTACGACAGTTCCGTTATTAAGATGAAAACCAACGACAAACCAGCAAAGAAAATGGGAAGATTTGAAACGTTGGACAACGTATTTGCCTAAACAATAAAAACACAAAAATAATAAACAAAAGATTTCACCGTTTAAAACACCAGTCAACATGAATAGCACTAGTTCAGTAAACGAATTGTAATGGGCCATCAGTGAAATTTGATGTGAAACAGCGGACGAATCTAAAATAACGCATTTATGTTTCAGTTGATACAGGGGTGTCTTCTCAACGAATACATTTGGCCATTCCTCCACCAAAAGCACCTCCAAAAGGGGATATGTGTTTCAGACATACATCGTTGTTTGTGTAGATTTCTCAGTGTGACTTCTCACCAAACATAGAAGATCCACCAAATTTAATGAACAGAACCATCTTAAACTACTCAAGGACTTGCGGCAGGCCATATTTACAATGACGTTACAATGACAAAAACAACACAACCGCCGGTATGATGACGTGTTTTACAGAAAGCATGAACTTAGCGTTAAGCAAGCTTAACAGTCGTTAATTTTGCACATTAAAATGCTTCACTTCAATATTGTTGTTCCTGTTAAAATTTTACTTATTTAACCTCTCTCCGTTGAGGGTGTTACTCAACGCTCATGTTCGCACCATTGCAGAGGGGCAGTTGGTTTTCTCCTTCAAGAATTACGTATACCTCAAGGTCAACCGAACCTTTATTTTTCTTGTACAATACCGTAGGCTGGTTTTTTTCTCATATTAGCACCAATCCCAAATTTCCTTTTGTGCTGTCACGCCTTAGAATTAAATCCAGTTAATGTCACATCGTGATTTCGTTCTTTGGCTTAGTTGGCTTTGGGATGTCAAATTGTATTCAAAATTAGTCTGTACATACTAGCCTTAAAATGCTTATATCCACGGAACTAATGGTTAATGCTCAATAGTCCTTAGTTTTGCTATGCTAATTAGGGCATTTGACTTGTGTGCTTTCTGTCAATATAGCAACACCCTTGTCATGATGTGGAGAACAGTGCCAAGTTCACAAAATTAGTTTAGCCTAGCAAACGTCATCAAAAGCAAGCACTGTCTTCTGTGAGTTTGTAGTCTTTGGTGTACGTGGGTGTAGTGGTTGCACGATCTAACTGCCGTACCTACTAAATTTGTCAACGTTTTCGTGGTCAAAAATTCAAGGTATATTTTTTTCAGTTAATAAAAAGAAAACTAACACATTGCATATCTAGAAGGCTAAATAAGGCCCTGAACATTTGGGGCAATACAGAAAAACTTGCAGCATTTCTGTGTGCATCATAAGCGACTAACTAGTTTTCTCAAAACTAGCTGGTTTACATAACTCCGGCATCCCTGCCAATGAAAACGAAGTAGATGCAGTCTTTTAGCTAACACCGGGATAAGACCGTGCTTACATGTACTCACTGAAGCGTGTCTTGTTGAATGTCCATATTTTATAGCAAATGTCCCATGTTTATTCTAACTAACGTTTGAGAGGTGACGCTCTAATCACCGATCTTCCATCCAAATATTGACTAAGAACTGGAACAACTTTATTTCAGTGTGAATGCGGAACCTCGGATGCACTCTTCCCTGAATAACACGCCACAGCACATCATCGCTTGAGTGCATGCGACGACAGCTTGGTATGACACGGTTGTCTATAAATTAGCTTGGTATAGACCGCGTTCAACGAAATGCTGACTCGAGAGGCTGTCATCAATTGTGGTAATAAGTCAGGAGTTCCCGTGAGAAAATGGGATTATAATTGCATGAATCGGTGTGCTGTGCTTGATGTTGGATGGGTGACAATGCCATATCACAATTATGTGAGGGTTGAGAAAGATGTCTGTACTGTTTTAACATGTAGCTGTCACAGTTTGCTGAATGTAGTGAAGGCCCTCCTCTACCTCATTGAAAATCCAAATTCAAAATCAGCGAACAACTCATTTGGATACCTGGAGAACAGGGACCTGTTGACAAAGAAGACGATGCGGCTGTTGGCAGGTCTGCCTGTAAATGGCCAACAGTTTGCTCCGAACCAGGCATGGTGCGAGTGGGCAGAGGCCAACGGATGCCTTCCAGTTGGTGAGGAAGATGACGATAGGTAACATGGAGGGCATTCTGGCGCAGGCGGTTTGTGTAAATTGCATGCAGGTATCTGTCAATGAGCACAACAATGCCGCCGATGTAGTTGTTTCCACAACTGAAGTAGATGATGTGGATTGTCTGGTGGGGTTTCGCTTGAATCCAAATCTGGAATTATTTGCCTGTGTCTACGAGAGCACCACGACTGCAGAAGAAGAACAGATTGTCCAATAACCTCCAATTTTACACTTTGTGGTGTACCCATTTGCTAAATTAGGTTGCCATCAGTCGTTGAGTTTGTACTTGGGTACTGACTGTTAAATTCCGTGAATATTTGTGTTGGGGATCCACGATTCCCCAAGATTGGTTTCTGAGTTTATTTACATTAATTTATTAACATTTGTTTTGTTACGCTTTTATCAAGTCAAAGTCAAACTTGACTTGAATTAGTTTTCAAATTACTTCCGATTTCACTTCTTCCCTGCACGTGGCTCACATGAATAAAGCTCTCTATTCGAGCTCTGGTCTTGTTCTGGTATTAGCCTGGGGAGGTCGGTTCTAGCTGTCAGCAAGGGATCTGGTACCGTTATTTGAGTGGTATTCTCTATTGTTACGGGCAAACGTAACAATTTGTGATCTCGTAATTTTGAACTTCCACATCGTCAGTCTTTGGGATTAGTGACGTGTTTTCATCTGTACAGCTAAGGCAATTACAGAACGCAATATCACGTTGCCTGAAGTAGCAAATCCATCACTATTGCTGCCTCTGCTCTAAATATTGATACAGTTTGCTTGCTTTATTGAGAAACTTCCAACCATAACTCAAATATGTGTCCAATGTCTTCAAAGCCTTCCAATATTTCCTCAAAGCCTGGCGCTCAACCATCTGCCTCAATTAGGAACTACGAATCTAATCAGATCCATGGTGGTCTTGAGATTATTTAACAAGAGTGTTGCTACATCTAAACCACCCGCAACAATATACATAAATCGATTGTCCGATTATCGTGATTGCTGTAACGTGTCAAGGTGTTCCACAGAACGCAATGACCAAATCTATACGAGTGGGACCTGCGTGTGTCAAATGCTGGTTTACCAAAACAAGATGAAAATGAATTTGTGTAATTGAGCGACCCTAAGACCTTGATGGCTTGGATGCAGGCTTGCACCCGATAAACGAAGACGCAGCACTCATGTGAAAATGCTGTTTACCTTAGGCTTTTTAGACAAGCTAGTGACTCGTCGATTCAGCTATGACAGAAATACACACTTTCACGGTAAAGAACATAACACAATCTATATAACACTTCTACTACGCACTGAAAAGCTTTGCACTGTCGGAAGAATTCTCTCGCATTGGTTAACCAAAAATGTAAAATTATAATGCATTCTGCTTAGGCTCCAATAATTCAATTGTCTTACCTCATGTTGTGTCAAAAACCACGATTATAGTAAGTTTTAACTCGCACATCAAAATTGAGTCATTGTGACATACGAAATATCTCAAGCTATCAATCCAAGCTAATGTTGGTAATTGCTGAAATGGTCTAACGAACCAAAAATCAATCAATAAAGTCTCTCCGCACTACAAACTGTTAGCCAACAGCTTGCATCACAACATGGATGCTGTGACACGTCTTTAAGATCACATGTTTAGTCACAACAATCCCTGTATTCATTAGTTAACGTTGCGTTCTTTACCATTTGTAAGCTCCTGTCTCTAACAAAACCATTTGGTTAAAACCAATTTGGCAATCCAACCACACACACCATTAGCCCTTATTTCAACTTAAGTTGCTTAGATTATTAATGTAAAGCAGCTGACAAGATTTGCACCAACAAGGCACCGGCATTTCAATCAATTGTATCATTTCAGACTGACTTCTGCTTAATAACACGTTCAAAAAAGTATAACCGGGCATAAAGTAAACTTAAGATAGAGTAAGAGACCTACATCAAGAGAAGATGCAAAGACGTCCACAAGAATTTCTATTTGATTCCCTGTTTCTTGTTGATTCACTATATGCGCTTCCCTTGCCACCTTCTCGTCATCCTCCGTTTCCAACAAGAAGATATATGTTGACCACTGCCAACTGACACCATGCATGCTCAAGGGTCAACTGGTGTCCTTTTACAACCAAACCTGTCAACATTCACGCCGTTTATATTGTCAGACTGGCTAGGTGTGCAAATTCGTTGTTTGCATCATTGTAATCTGGATTTTCGATAAGATGGAGGTAGGACTTCACTACATCTTACAGACTGCAACAGCTGCAATTTAAAATAACTAGAAACTTAACTAGTGTGTGCTCAATTATTCCAAATGCAAACAAATGTTGCAAGTTGGTGCACTTGTCTAATAACAAGAATCGTCTTGGTTCTGAACTCCACTATGGAGCATGGAATAGCCTGAATCGATGGAACGATCAAACAAGTCAGGCTGTCTAACCTTTGTACAATTTTGTGCGATGTCAGGGTTATACGTTGTTCATATTAGCTTGGTTTTATATTTAGATTAGATCAAAACACTCACGGCTCATTAGATCAACATCAAGGATGCAGTGTCTTTTAAGATTTGCCTTTAAGCCATCAGCACTTGATGGTGTCTCAGACCTCACTCCCAATTGGGACGTTTTCGGTTAATTCAATGGATCTAGCCCACACAAAGAAACTATCCTCAAAGTTGTAAGAAACTGCGAAAATTAAAAGGTCACTAGGCACTGGTTCTTAATCAGACTTTCTACGACCACGGATAATAGATTGACTTTACTGTTCAAACCATCAGATATACTAAACTCCTGAAATATGCTATCTGATAAAATAGCTTTCAATATATTAGGCTGTAAAGGAAAAATTGATACTAGAAGCAAATTGTTTTAGGGTTCTGTGCAGACCAGACAATTACACACTAAGACGTGTTCTTAGTGAAGAAGATTTTGGCTCAAAGTGGAAAATAACCAGAATGTGTGCATCTAGCGAAACTGTTGCAACGGTACAATTCATTCTCTAAAGTTAAATTAGAAAAGTTCCCACTTGTCCATCAAGCGTTGGTGGGTTGTTGTGATACCCGCCTTGCCACGGTTAATTTCCTAAATTTCCTTAAATCTTCTTACTATAAGGTCATCACCCGGTCCTTGTCATATTACAACTAAATTATTTAAAATGAATGTTGCAAGCAACTTAAAGCTGAATGCATAACAACTTATAAACGCCCTTTTAGTTTAAAATAAAAATGACAATTTAGTAAATTAGATTGTTATTTTACTTTTCTGTAATGTGTTATGATCATACCAATCCGGTCGCTTATTTTAGGAATGTCCAAAATTTGGCATGTCACAAAATTTGTGCTCATTTACACAATAAAGAATATTGTTATTGCTTGCAAAAGTTCCTAAGTGCCATTAAATAGAGGCCGCAGAAAATTTGTTTTCCAATATTTGCTCATTAAGAAGGATCACAAGCGAATTAGCAATGTCACCAATATCACTTAAAACCTATTTAAATAAGTTAATTCAACTTATGCATGATATAAAAATGCATCAATATGCAAAATACTGGAAATTTACTTATTGGAGCATTGTAAAATGGAGCATTTTATATAAGGATTATTCGCATGGATCTAGATAAAGGTATGTATTACGTCGTTAAAAACTATTCTTTAAGAAAAGCAATAAAGACTTATTAAGCGTATAACTAGATCAAACTTAACAACGCTTGAAACACTGTAACTTATAAGACGGTTACCGGGATTTTCTAACACATGAATACCGCGGTGTTGCTTCAAGGTTTTTAGTAAACCAATAGGCACGTGGATTGATTATTATTCCAGATCAATCTAGGTTGTGAAGAATGAAGTCAGTTAATTAATTGCATTTTAGCAAAAAAATTAAAAAAATACGTGAATGCTTTTTTTAAATGTCTCTTTTTGCAAATTTTTTCGTTTTTGAAATATTAGAATGATTGATATAAGGATCTCAGCCTTAAATTAGCTTAAAATGTCGGTTGCTGTGGCGAAATAATGCTTCTTTTATGTCAGTACTACCGTAATTCACAACTAGCTTTAAAAGTGTCTTTAATGCTGAATTTGAGTCCGTTAGTTATGCATATCATGTAATCGAATGCGTTTGCGTCGAAAGATTGTGTCTAATGGTGTATATATATCTGGAAATAGACGATTGGATAAAAATTTATTTCGCATTATTTTAAAAAAACCAATATAACCTGTTCTTAAATAGCATGAATTTTGTAAAAGACACAAATTTCAATGATGCAATTTTGGGTGCAACTACACGAACACGTAGTTGAGTATGTTATAAGCCAATATAAGCACCCTCAAAATCCTTACATTTACAAGGAAAGCAGCTTGTGTGTTTTAACCGGTTTTGAGTAGCTACAGCACTATTACTGACTACTCATTGACAGCGACTATGTGTGCTTGCTGTCCACTGTTGTGTCGGCTGCCCAATTGAGCAGCTGGATGTAATTAGAAGTGGCCGGCGAGTATCTGTGTATGGCTGTTATAACAGTACTAAAGCAAACGGATAATGTTTAGTGTATGGTCGATTGAAATCACGGCCCCGGATTTTTCTGATGGACCCTACCAATTACCTGAGTTAGTCACCCTATACTGATGTAAAAAATTTTTTCTTCACAAGCACCTACTTTCATATATTAAACAGAGTGTCTTTGTTTAACATTTACGTGCACAAATTACAATGCCTGAGAATGCTGGTAATTGAAATGCATAATTGTGCCACCAGACGCCAAAAAAGGAAATTAGGCTCAAGGCGTTAAACTCGGCAATCATCTATTGGGTTTAGGTATTGTTTTGTATGAAGGGCCGTGCAATTTAGATTACGTTTTGCCATAGTAAGCACTTTGCATACAATTCATTTAATGAAATTAGAGTTATTCTCGCATAATAGAAATTTCATTCTAAAGAAATGTAGATGCATTAAGAAAATAAAATTTTTTGCTGAACAAGCAAGTTTCGATTAAGCACACAACAACTGTGTAAGTCAAAATTATTTGTTTTGAAAATTCACCATTAGACAATAATCAGTCGCTAAGGAGTAACTGTTCAAGGTAGGTAAAGTTTCGAAAGCCGAATCGAAAGGTAAAAAGTGCCACCTTGGTGAATTATATTACATTAAAATGGCCTATGTGCTAACACAATAAAACCGAGTGGAGAGTCATTACCCCTCTACCGCTTTTGCCAAATAAAAGCAAGCTGATGCACTCACATAAATCACAACTAGACACACGCACATAAATTTCAACGATTGCTTCCAAGGTTAATTTGATGCAATTTTTAATACAGAGAAATGAATAGATTACTTCGTCAGCTGACGTGCAATGCGCAAGTATTCAAAAATAATGATATCAGAGCATAAACAGAATAAACTAAAATAAACAGCTACTCAAAGACATGCAACAGCCCCATCAGACAGTTAACGTCTCGAGGAGCCGTTAAGCCTTCACAACCGCTGTCGATAAGCCGTCGATAATGGTACCTAGTTAATGTGGGGGTTTGTACAAGTCTCTATAATACTTTCAAGAGATTCACGAAAAAAAATGGAATCAGGATCAGGCAGTATCACTTCAAATCATTCTTTATGCTTATTCTTTTTTCATGCAAAACATTGCATTCTGATATAACGGCCTATGGAGTTTGCATTACCCTGCAAAAGATGAAAGGCAAAGACATCTACTTTGTTCCATACAGCCTAATTTCTACATGAAAATATACATATTAAGGTTAACATATTTAACTACTTGTGCTTCAATTAACAATTTCAATTTTTAGTTTCAAGTTAAGTTATAATTTACTTGGTGGTCAAGATGTAACCTTGGGACATTTATGAGATGTGTGATTTGGTCGCGCGGTATGAACAAGAAGTGGGTAAAAATGTAGTTTTTTAATTGAGACTGCAATCAACCACAATTGAATCAGTCCTATAGGAGAAAAATGGTCCTTAAATATCCCTGTCCCGGTCGTCCTGTCCTCTCGCAATGATGTCTGAGGGTTCTACTAGTTAACCACTTACCTCAGAGCTTGATTGTTCATGCGTACGACAAACTCATTACCTAAGAGTTAGTGCTTATAGTACACTGAGAAAAACATTAAGGCCAGCATTTCGCGTTTAGTAGTGCAGTAATTGCTCCCCTTCTTCGAAAGGCCTCTGCTGCCTAATGCTATAGGATGTTCTGAGCCATCGGGTTGAACCTGCAATATTACCACCCTGTTGCCCTGTCTGACGCGTCCTTGTCCAAAATGAACGGAGAAAACAGCAAACACAGGACAGCCCTGCAAAGCCACTCTAATGGTAGAAATAAATTCTCAGGTCCAATTTGCATGAATTCTACTGAAAGACACAGCTAACATTTCATGTACCTTGAGAGAATTTAGAGGACATCCTGTGCAACTGGAAATTGATGTTGATGTAGGCTATGCTATCAAAATGGATATCTCAAATATTTATCTTTTATTAGTGAAATTAGCAAAAAAAGTGACGATTTTAATAGATAAGGAGTCTAATTGTAGAGAAATTGTTTGTGTTCTAAAAGCACCACGTAGCCTTTATCGTAATATCAGTGTCTAAAACTATAAAGGTACATGTAAAAGAGTAAGAGTCAGATGTCGTGTTCTTGTAGCACATGGAGCTGGTCACTCTTTTGATTGAACAACGGTAAGCAAAGCGAATAACGTGACGCCATCTGCCGCGAATATTGTCTTTTGTAGTTGCTTCAAAGTTTTCGTTGAGATTTAGTGACAATTTGATGCTCTTCTGCAAAGAAATGTGGATTCTGTCATAGTTGTAATGCAAATTTTCCCTTTAACTGCAAAAATAGGCAAATAGTCGTGAACATCTTCAGGTGGAATTTTAATGGCTTAACAGAAAACATGTGCATCCCCAATCGTGACTTTTCAAAATCAAATACCTTTTTCTCAGACCACTGGATAAAAAAATCAAGAATGTTTCCCATTATTGAAACCTGCTCAGCATTTATTAATGTTATTTTGCTTCACCGGTGATACTGGAGTGCATGATAGCACATGGTAGGTAATATATCCTGATACATGGTAAGGTCAGGATATTTTAATCGTGTAAAATTGTAGGTTTTTGGGTTAGTGAAGCAGACACCAGACTTCAAGCTTGGTCATCCACATCCCAGTGCTGCTGGTCAATCTTGAATTACACAACTGCTTGTAACCTAAATAAGGCTTAATTCGTTTATTTTTCTTACTCTGTTGAATTTTAGTGCATTCCAAAAATAATGAAAAGCCAATTCAAGCAGGCGCATTTGATTTACCAGCTTGATGTGGTAAGGTTTCAAAATGTTGAAAGGAAGGAGAAGGACGAAGAACGCAGTGGGCCGGCATTCTTAGGTCGAATAGAGCGCATCACATTATCGAAAATTACATGGGTCGAAGGACAATCAACCAAGCTTAACAAAACAAAAAGCCGTTGCTAAACCACTACGCTCTGTGGTAATCTTATTACAAGTTAGCATCACATCTAATGCGGCTAAAACAAATTTGATCTCTAGGCAAGATGAAACATCCTGTAGGTGCTGTAGAGGCTGCAATTAGAAGTGGAAGTTGCGTATGGTATCTGGTGTGATAAATGGTTGCGCTTTTATTCTTTAGTGGTTGATGTATTAGTCAAGACAAAGGTATTGACATTGTGCATGGAAATTGGTTCATTTATGTCTGGGTTTGTTCCAGTAAAGTATATTGCTGTCCGCTATCAGTTTGTTAGGTTTTGGTTTGTGTAATGTCTGGCGTTCTTTGCAATTTGCAGTGGTTTATAGATCAAGCAGTTGCTAGCTCATTAGCTTAACGCGAAAGCCGTCATGGTTCCCAATTCGAGAAATGACATAAATGGAACCGTAATTTACCAAATCCCTAGACTGAATGATAATCCTTTGTTGCATTTGATTCAGGGTGTTATATTCTTCAACATATTTTGTATTATAAGGTTGATGATACTTCATGTTTTGACGACAACTTTTGACGGTCGAATCAGGTAGATAAAAACGACATTAGAGATTTGTTTGTAAAAAGTGAGTTATCATCGGAAATTTGCTGAAATTAGAATAATAGCCTCGTCGATTGCACTCGGTCATTGCACTAAATTTCAAAAACTTTTGCCTTGATTATTTGACGTGAAATATGTGAGAGGCATCATAGATTTGCACAATGAAAAAGGTCACACATACGACAACGACTTTTCTGGATTCTAGATTGAACGACAATTCTTAGTTCATTTACATAATGGGGCACTTATAGAAATATCTGACTATCGAACCTTCCTTGCAGAAATTCGGTTGTTTCAGCCAAAAAATTAAAAATGATATCTCAAGGCTAGGTAGAAATGTATAAATGGGTGCGTTAATATGCATGTTATCTACGAACAAAACAATTGATCGAATTGAAATTTATGACGTTAGAGTTGTGAGGAATGCTCACATTTTTCGTTCAAGTAAATTGAGCTGCCTATATCTAAATGTTAAAATATGACTTCAAAAGCCTTGTCGATTTTTGGTATGTAAATGAAAAATTTAAGACCTTTGCCTATAGCCTATTTATCTGTCTGAGTAATATAATTCTCATGTTAACGATTCCCATTTATGCTTTCATTAAACTCATTCGAGCATAACCCATTCTAGATGTAGTAATTGATATGAAATGGGTGCAAAATAATAATTTCGCGTTTAAAGCAAGGAGACAAACATTGGTCATGCCGGATTATCCATTAGCTGTTAATTTATTCCATCAACGTATTATTGACATTCGTGATGTCGACAAATCAACAATACCGTTAAATTTTAAAGTCACTAAATTAACAGTGCTTCGCATTCAAGGTGCAATTAACGTGTTCAGTTATCCATGTAATCACCAGGATACAGAAATGCTTTATTTTTTGTTCCTGTTAGCCTTGAAAATAGACCGCCATCTACAAATATTCGCATAATTAATTGAAAGTTCGTCAGGTGTGAGACAGGTATTTTCATCATGCACTGTTCTGTAGTGTTAGATCATTGCAATACTTTTCACTTTAATGCATTTGATTTTCTTTGTCATAAAATGTATGCTTGAGGTATATTCTTAAAAGGCGTATTTCATTAAGAATTTGTGCCGCAATTTAATGCGTTATTTATCGTAAATTTCAAATAACAATGAATTACCCTAGCCCTCACAAGTAATATGCACTATTTTATATTTAGGTACGTATTGGACTAGTGCCTGTCGCTGTTAAATGTGTCATGTCAAATCACAAGTAGAATTTTGAATGGGAAGGCTGAGTATGATGTTGTGTTGCTGCATACATTTTCGTGAAATTCTCATTTAGCTTGGACTATCATTTTTTATGACTAGCAAATTTTAGGTCTGCGCTCTGCGACTGGTTAACGTAGTTGGTAACATTTGCTGACGCTGCCTATTTTTTGATAATGGGAATGAAAATGTCGCATTACGTAGTCTTTCAGAATTGTAATAGTAAGTTGTCTTGAATTAACAAGATGATCTTGTTTAGTCAACTGAGTATTAGGCTGTGGCAGCATCTACTGCATTTTACTCAATAGGTAATCTCAATTCAAGGCATATATAATCCTCTTCAGAAATTAGTTGTTTAGCGATTTTGATGTTCCTATCCACTTAATTGAAAGGCAGTGGTTAAGAAACCATCGTCTTGGTTCATGATCCTGCCTGATCAGCATGCCAGATAAACTAAACTGTTTTCGTTCACATATGTCTCATTCAACAACTCAGCGTTCATATGTAAAGGACATCCAACAACTCTACCGGATGATTTAGTCATCGACAGACGGCCAAGCTTCCATACTCTCAGTCGATGAAATGTCAGTGATAGTTTCGCTGCACCCCAAATTTGGCAACAACGCTCATGCTGTCTTCACTGTGAAAGTGAGTGATTGTTAGGCAATTATTGGAAAAACCTACAAAGTGCTAAGATCTATTGGTGTGTGGTGCTTTAAAATGTGGCAGGTGTTTAATAAATCAACTGCGAAAAAACTCAAGCTCGTAGTCTTTTGGACTTAGTAATATTAACATATTTAACATTTTAGCCATGTGCGTTGCAGGCGAATGATTGGAAGAAAAAGTGTCAATTATGATAGGTGTTTATCGTGTAAGTGGTGTTTTTGTGTAGCAAATTTTATCCACTATGCGTTCATAGATGACGATGGTAAAGCATGACGTGGGCAAGGGAATACAGAGGGTAATTATCTCGGTAGAATGATGATTACATAATGCTGGAAAATGGGCAGGATTACCGTGCGTTTTGAGTGCAAACGAACTTCGGGTGTCTGTGTGAACTTCGACTCCCCTTGAGTCTGTCGTCCACGTCCTGCTGATTGTTTTCTGCGATTTGAATTGAATATTGCAAGCAATATCTTCGAAATAGCTTGGATAGATCCAGTCATTTTTGGGTCTTAGAAAGTTATGCAAATAATCTGCATCGTGAATGATGAAACCCGTTAGATGTTTAAGGGCTTAGGACTCTAACTTAACACGTGAAGGATTTTGTGGTTTTGGGTGAGGACTTTACCTTCGTCTGTTTGATAATGCATATTGTAGATAAAGTGTCCCGTGTCCTATCCAAGGAGTTGTCCAGAAGTGACATTCACCTCACCAATCTTCCACCCCAACATCGACAGTTATTCGGGAGACATTTGTCTTAATCTTCTCAGTGAATGGCTTAGGTATGTCTTGCCTGTTTGTTTGAGCTTGACTGCTTAATCACGAGAACTCTGTTTTCCTCACCAAGACTGTGCAGCGCATGTTCACGCGAGTGCCAACGAACAGGTCTGTGCATGCAATGACGTAGGAACAGTTGGTAGGTTTAAATATGTGAAATGCCAAGTGCAATTTCCTGGCAAGACCATGGTAACGGTTTGTCCATGTGGGGTTTTAATTACTATAAGAGTAAAGTAATTAAGAAGTTCTTGTAGGAAGCCGTGTGATTGTTATAGTTACAGACACGTTTCATGTTGGAACGCATGAA